GTGAGGTGGTGAAGATAAATCATTTTCTGAGCGCCCCCAATTGTGTTCAAACCTAAACTTTTTGTTTGGGGCAGAACGTTTATAATTAAAATTACTGTCATGCTTTTTCGTTTGGTTTCGTTTCGTTGTTGCAAATGTCCTGCACATGGTGAACAGTTTCATATGTATTTTTCACACTCGTGCATGTTACGCTAATCTAGAGCATTCACATAAATACCCTTTTAATGCTATCGTATCAGCTTAAAATTAACGTGAGTTTTCTAGTCTAGCATTTGGTGGCCTGAATAAATGCTTATTTTTAACATATATATTTACTGGTGAAAGGTACTTAGGGCTATCTCTATCATGTGTGCAGAAACGATCAATGTTTGTCAATGTTTTGTGAAGTAATTTAGGGAACTATGTAGGAGTCTAACGGATATAGTTTGTATATTTGCATAAAATTTGGTGATGTGGTTCTGGGTACTTTGTATGTTGTGGTGAGTAATATATTTCGTATGCTTTGTAGTTTGTTAACGGGCTTTGGTGCTGTGTTAATTATGCTGGGCAGACATATTCAATTACTGGGCGTATGTATGTTTTATTGTTTTTACCCAACTCCTTACATACTTTGTACACTCCCAAACTTCTGTTAGAATATTATTTACATGTTTAACCCACGTCAATTTGGAATCGAAGGCTAGTCCTAGGAATTTGGCTGATGTTGTGGTCTGGATAAGTGTTCGATTCATATACAATTTGGGTGGGTCCTTTTTTAGTTTTGATTTTTTTGGGGCGTTAATTTTAATACGGTGTTTCAGGCAATATTCTACTATGTTATTTACTACAACATTAAAATCTGAGATTTGATTCCCCGCGGTGGACACAGTGCAAAGAACCCATTATATAACTTTGCACTAAGAAAATAAACACAGTTTTCTGTATTAAGTATCATTGTGCTGGCAAAAATGTGACGTTAATCTACTACTGCATTAGGATAATGTATTTCTCTACACAAGTGCTGGTTGATACATTAACAGTCTTTAATATAGAAATGAAAGAAGGAGAACACTTGGCCTTGAATGTTTACAAACGTAATGATGATTAATTAATCGCACTTTATAACAACGATGTTCCTCCGACTATCGTAAATAGTTCTTAATCTGATGAGAGTGATGCCCATGATTGCACACAGTTGTCCGATACTGCAATTTCCATTGTAACAAGTTCCTGCGAAAGACAACGTGGTCAATATTAGACCTCATTTTCTAACACACTTTCCACAGACCCTCCACTGTGTAGGCCCGGCATGGCCAGGTGGTTAGGGCGCTCGACTCGCAATCTGAGGTTCGCGGGTTCGAATCTCCGTCACACCAAACATGCTTGCCCTTTTAGCCGTGGGGGCGTTATAATGTGACGGTCAATCCCACTATTCGTTGGTAAAAGAGTAGCCCAAGAGTTGGCCATGACTAGCTGCCTTCCCTCTAGTCTTACACTGCTAAATTAGGGACGGCTAGCGCAGATAGCCCTCGTGTAGCTTCGCGCGAAATTCAAAACAAACAAACAAACCCTCCACTGTACGTGGATGTCGGCTTTCTATACCACAGTTAAGCATACAAAAGTACACTGAAACTGTATCAGAAAGTTTACCATGTATGCAGCTTAACTTATATTTTCACTGAAAGATGCGAGTTGTAAGTTTTGATTGCATTAGAATGGAATAAACAAATATTAAAATCGTTTAAAAAACATGGTAAGTTAAGTTAGTTAAAGAAGAAAACTCACATCTATTGAGATTTTATCCAATAGTACAAAGGAAATTACTTAATTATATTAAAATGAGATGTCTTGATGATAGAGTGTGACCTAAAAATTCAACCAACAACAAGTAATTTGATAGATTAATTGTTGAAATCATGCAAAACAATATTTCAGCTAAATTTGAATAATAATAATCATAATATTAGAAAAGAACAGATTTTCCTGAGCCAAAAAGTGTCCCAGATGAAATGATAAAACAAAACAACTTATAAAGATTCTTTAACATAGCTTAAATTATACTTTATTTAATTAAATGGCTCAGTTCATCTTTACGAGATCTTAGTTACTAACAATGTCTAATTATTTAAATTAATGTACTTTTTCTTGGCTATGACGTATTTTCTTTTCGATAGATATATTCTGAACTTTTACACAGTTTTGTTATTGCTCCAAACAAAATGCCTAGATTGATGAAAATGAACGACATATCATATTTGTTGATGTTCTTTAGTTTTTGTAGTTTCATTTCTGATAGCATCGACAGATACATACAGGGCACTTACAGTGTAAGATTACTTTTTCAGCACAAACTGGCGAATGGCATGGAAGAAGAGAATGACAGAAATAAAAGGTATTCATGGTAAAAAAAAGCCAAAAATAAGAGAAAGTGTAACATGCAAAAAATCTATAATACAGCAGTGAATTATAATATGGTAAAAATGAGCCTAAAGAAAGGAAACAATTTTATGCTGGAGAAGCTCAACAACTGAGATTACACGCATGGTTTAAAAAGCAGTTTCATGAATGGGCTCAATGAACTAAATGTCTATTGCAAATCAATATCCCAAAAAGGAAAAACGAATCAGATGGTGGAAGTTGGTGCAACGTAAAAGGAGAGGAGAGGTAAGTAAGAATTCTAACGTCTACATCAGGACTGCATTCGAAATATTGACGTATTATTCACAGACTATAATAAACAAAATAAGAAGAGTAATGGTGCCGATAGAGAGGGCAGTCCTTAATGTTGGTCTAGCTGCCACCATCCAATCTGCAGTATTAACTGGGAAGTTCTGAGTTTGATTAGGAGAGGTTGCAGTTGTTTGACCCCACTATTATTTGGTTGATTTATTCTAGTATGAGTCTTACATGGTTCTTTGTGTTCTGTTTTGATGATCTCTGTAACTACAAATGAAGCTTCTGGGAAAAATTTTCTAATCCTCTCTTCTATGTTAATTCATGGTGTAATCTTTATCCGCAGACACAGAATGATTTTAAATGACACCTGAAGATTCTGACGAATCAACAGAAACCTTGACATCAGATAGTGCATATGACGAAATGAAGGGTTGATTACGGGAAAGCACTTAAACTTCAAAATAATGCGGAATATCTATGACATTCATTCCTAACGACATTGGGGATGATATTATTAATGATTAATACAAATTATTTTACTCAATTATAAATAATATTGAATCACATTTTTGTTCTGGCTAATGGGTGATATTTAGCTTCACAAATATTGGCCGTTTACTAGTATCATACAGTTTCTTCATTTAATCGCTGAGCAATTAAGACAAGCACACTGGTTTTCCTCTTTTGTATAACAAATATTATACAGGGAGTATTTTGATGACAATGATATATGTTTTCTCTAGGGCTGGAATTGACCTAGCGGTTAGCGTGTCAGGTTGCGGATCGAAGGGTCCAAGATTCGAAACGTAATGCAGCTGAACAGTTCCGAACCTTACACGTGTGTATGCGTAGTAATATTGACAGTCAGTATCGTTATTCATTAAACAGCCGGACAGTCGTTTGGCATGAACAAAAAAAAATGTATTTCTTTCGCTTTGAAAAAATTGAGGGTTGGGTTTATAAATAAAATTTACATATATTAGTTTTCTTAGCTACATGTCTTTATAGTTTATATGATGCTGATGGTACATCGATATTATCCAATGCTGTCGATTTAGCTGGACCATTGAAACCTGACACTGAATTAATGGCCCGGCATGGCCAGGTGGTTAAGGCGCTCGACTCGCAATCCGAGGGTCGCGGG